TAGTAGCGATGCCAGGAGCTACTAGAAGCATCCTTGTTACTAGTAGCTTCTGGTCCACCTGTTCGCTTCTCCAGAATCTTGAAGATCACACGATTGGTCGCAGGCACGGGCAGGCAGTACAACAGTGGCACGTGCCAGAGTGGAGAGCCTCAGAAATGGAATCTCAGTTCTCCCAACGCACAAACCTCAACCACAGATGAAACATGCAGAAACTTAGAGCTTCTCAAACCAATTGTTCATAAGACTCAAAGCCATTGACACTTTTCTCCGGTTTGGGGGGCAAAACACTGGTAAAGTATGCTGGATTCCAAGGGCATGGCAGGCCAACCATCGAGGTGCGTCACGACTTGTTTGGACCGGGAACTAGGAACAAGGTGCAACAAGTAGCAAGGACCCTAGTAGCAAGCAACTAGTAGCTCCTAGTAGCGTGTTTGCTCCCTTACTGAATTAAGTAGGCGCCTACTTAACTAAGTAAGGAGGCAGGGCCATGGGCTACTTGAAAAAGCGGGGAACAAGAATATCCTTGTGTTTTTTCCTCTTCTGTAGAAACTCTGTAGAGGACTCTCTGTGAAAAAAAGAAACTCACTCCTTTGGGCATCCAGTCCTTTCGACCAAGGAGCATCGGTATCCCCAACTGTCATGTCTTCCACGGCACGGTGGACGACTTTGCGGCAACCAACCAGGACGTTACGAAGGAAGACTGAGAGGCAGTTTGAGGATGCCAGAAGATGCTTCAGTCTTTCCTTTTAATCAGAAAGGTCATCATCATGTATTTATTAGGTCATTTCCCATCGCTAGTAGGTTGGAGGCCATCGCTACTATTTATTGGGTGATTTCCCATCTCAACATATCCCAATCCGCCGTCAGGACTTTGATTTGGCTTTGGGCCTCCACACCTGCGGTTTGTTGGCTGACGCCGTCCTCGCTCTTGCAAAAGCCCGCCGCAGCCGCGTTTGCCTGGTGCCATGCTGCTATGGCCAGGCGTGTGGTGCGTGCGGATGTCTGAGACCTGTTCTTGAAACTGCTGCAGGAATAGTGGATGTAGGGTGTTAGGCCAAAAGGACTGACTAGTATCATCCAAATGTGGTAAGTCCCAGTAGTTTGGAGACCATCCCTAGTAGGTTGTAGGCCATTGCTATTGTGTTGGAGGCCACCGCTAGTAGGTTGGAGGCCACTGCTATTGGGTTGGAGGCCATTGCTATTTGGTTGGAGGCCATCGCTAGTAGGTTGGAGACCATCGCTACTAGGTTGGAGGCCATCGCTATTAGGTTGGAGGCCACTGCCAGTAGGTTGGAGGCCATCGCTACTAGGTTGGAGGCCATCGCTAGTAGGTTGGAGGGCATCGCTACTAGGCTACTGTTTTGGAGGCCAAGTAGGTTGGAGGCCATTGCTACTAGGTTGGAGGCCATTGCTAGTAGGTTTGAGAATCTAAGAGTTGTGACTGAAAAGTTCCTCACCTTAGCCATTTGTGCCGTCCAGGTGGCCACGTTGAAGGAGGATCACCGCCGTGGTGTGGGCACGGAGCAGCGGATGCACCCTTGCAGCGAGGCCATGCGAAAGACCATCTCCTCGGAGCACTTCGCATGGTGTGCCAAAGCGGCAGACTTCACTCCGGGGAAGGTGACCGAGTCTGCTTGGCTTGTGAAAGGGAAGAAGAGAGAGAAAGGTTTGAAATGATTAGATTATGTGACATAGGTTGGATTTGAACAATTACTTGACACTTGTAGCTTTGCAATAACTTCCTCACAAGTCAGTTTATGCGCAGTGCATGCTTAAATGTATGAGACTGGTAGGCCAAGTTCTGTAAAGGATCCTCAGTTGTTGGTCAACTTGGCCAAGTATTAGCATTATATAGCTACTAATAGTTTCTTGTTCCTAGTAGTAAGGCCAGAAGCCACTAATAGCGGCCTTGCTCCTAGTAGCGATGCCAAGAGCTACTAGGTAGCTTCTTGTTACTAGTAGCTATGTCGGGTGTGATGGATTCTCCAAAGCTCCCAGCTATATTTCACTTTATCCCACCATCGAGCAAAGCGAGGGGCTGGCCTCACTGTCCACGGGGTGCTTCTTTCGCCAAGTTTTCTTTCCAGGGGGGTGTTTTCGACGTCAACAGCGAGGGCTTTCAGACTGTCACTTCGCTGCAGTTGGGTTGTGAGCTTCAAGTGGCTAACTATTCCTAGGTTGGAGGCCATCGCTACTGGGTCGGAGGCCATTCAAGAAGCTCTAGCTAGCAGCTAGAAGCTACTAGGGTGGAGGCCATCGCTACTACAGTACTACAGGTGCTTTCGAGCGGCAGAGGTTGGGAGAAGACCTCCTGGCCGTTTCTGCTACTGCAAAGATGACCTCTTCAAACATTTCAACAAATTCCTGTTTCTTCATTTTGTTTCTTTCCATCAAAACATATTTACATATTTCTTTGTACACCTTTCTTTCTTTCCTTTTCAAAACGACAAGCCGCTTCGACCTGAGGCCTGGCGGTGCATGCGCATCGTCGACAGCGACCGGCTACTCTTCGCACGTGAAGATAGGTCGGGTGGCAAAGTGGAAACTTCGTGAGTAGGAAAAAGGAATAGAAAGGAAAGAACATTTAGAAGGTTTCTAAAGAAAATGTCAGAAAAATGATTGAGTACAAAAAGGAAAAGGAGGAGTTGCAAGTGTGGGTACCTAAGGAGCTGTGTCTGTGTGGTGTGCAGCCACGGAGTTTCGACCACGGCGCCTAAACTGAGGTTTGATGGGGAGCCTAGAGCTCAGTGCTGGGTGACCGGGATCGAGTTGGTGAAGATGCAAAGGAAAGCGCAAATGACAGCGTCCTTTCTCCTAGATGCGATGCCCTTTGCTCCTAGTAGCGACCTTGCTACAGAAATCGAACCAATCAAATCAGAGGGACTTCCGTATCCTAGTAGCGTGGCACTTGTTCCTAGTAGCTTCCAACCCCCCCCCCCCCCGCGCCGCGCGCGCGCGCGCAAAAAGGTCCTAGTAGATTCCTTTTCTTTCTAATTACAATTCTAATTAAATTCATCTTGTTACTACTAGCAAGGCACTTGTTTCTAATAGCGATGCACTTGTTACTACTAGTAAGGCACTTGTTACTAGTAGCGATGCACTTGTTCCTAGTAGCGTAAGGACTTCCGTATCCTTCGCCCTGTGACACAAGGCTTGGGCAGCTAGCTTTGGGCTGCTCACCGAAGTGGCGAGCTCACCGAAGTGGAGGTGTCCATAGCCTTTTCAAACATCGAAACGACAACAGATGGTGAGGCTTCAAGTGTGGATCCTCATGTTCATCACCGATTTTCCTTCGAGTGTTTCATTTTGTCCGGTCTTTGACCATGTTTTTAAATGTAAATCAAATGCACTGTGATTCTCAGGTGCTCAGTGATTCTCTTGCGCCCAGAGAAAGACGCGGGGTGCCTCAAAGAGTTCCAAGTAGCGCTCGCACTAATCATTTGGTTCCTAGATGTTTAAGGGGAACTTAGCTTGGCATGTCAAAGGCATGTGGCGTTCATTTTCGGTCAACTCGACTGGGAAGCAAGTAAATTGGATGTAGTTCAAGGTGATTCATCACTGTTCAAGAAATGCACTCAAGTCCGGCTAGAAGGTCATATCCGATATTTGTTTGTTCGTCGATTCTTGGAAGGTCGTGGCTGCGTCCGAAGATCCCGACGTCGAAAAAGAGTGCGCGGACGGTGAAACAAGAACTAGCTGAAAGAATGATTGGACTTACTAGTAGTAACAAGAAGCTACTAGTAACAAGTGCCACGCTACTAGGAACAGGTGCCTTACTAGTAGTAACAAGAAGCTAGTAGAAACAAGTGCCACGCTACTAGGAACAGGTGCCTTACTAGTAGTAACAAGAAGCTAGTAGAAACAAGTGCCACGCTAGTAGTAACAAGTGCCTTACTAGTAGTAACAAGAAGCTAGTAGAAACAAGTGCCACGCTAC